CGCCGGCGGAAATCCGGCCTGCGCTGCGGCCGCTTGGTAGTTGTTCATCACTGCAACGAATGTGCCGGTCATTTTTCAATATTCCCCAATGCGCTGCCACGGCCTCAACCGGCTAAGCAATTAGCTGTGCTGCTGGTGTGTCCTCGTCGAGCGCGAAACGCTAACCAAGTGCTTCGCGAGTAAAAACATAAGGTCAAGTGAAAGAGAGTGTTTCTTGAAAGAGAGTATATGTACATGTCTTTTTCTTCAAGAAGTCTGTTAGAAGTCTGTTCAAGGCTGGTACAACCGATAAGTAAGTAGATTGGTTGAGTAGGGATTTTTTAAAGAGAACTGATGCGGTCAAATGAGATACCATGTGAATTAAATGTGAAAAGATTTGAAAGCAGAGTAAGTCAGCTGTTCTTGTAACTTTGTTTCTTTTGAAGAACTAACCGGATTCGTTAGTTTACTAGCTCATTTGCAGAAGATTCGCGGTGAAATGCATGTAAATTTTTTTATTTTTGTTCATTGTAATGTAGTATCGAAATGTTTCTGATTGATGTTGGAAGGTGAAACAACTATGAGGCTGTGGGCATAATGTTTGTACTATTTAGCTTGAACATATATGGAAGGAACATATTTTATACACATATAGGAAATACACGGAAAAGAAGAAATTTGTAAGATACCATGAAGCGAGATAGAATACAATTTTATAAAAGATTTGCGCACATAATTGTTTCAACCAATCAAATGATATACTACTTATTATAATAATGATATGAACTTATTATATGAAATTAAACGTCGAAAGGTTAAATTCTTAAGTCGAACACGAAAATTCCAATTACTTTTGAACATTTGAATAATTGATTGGAACATCATACATTATACATGTTTTTGTAACAGCAAGCTAGAAAAACAAACACGTTGATTAACACATACATAAGTATTCATAAAAGCTATATAATTCCTCTGTTCCAAAGATTTTACGCTCTTCAAATGTTAATAACGACATTACTATATTATTGCTTATATCAGTATACCTACTACCGGGAAGCTTATCGAAACTAGTATGTGTTTTTAACATCGCTAACAAACACGCCTTACAATATCAACAACAAAATCACGCAATCAACATCACAACTTCCTTTTCTGTACATGTGTATATCTCGCAGTATAAGGAACATCTCAATTAATAAGCGACATGTGCGTATAAAAATAAATTTGTACCCGTTAGAAAAGGAGAAGAAAAAATAAAGGAAACGTTTCTATTTCCTTGTTATATCAGAGAACCAGGACGAATTCGTAATAGACATCCAATAAAACACGTGAACACTGGTACAACACAAAACAGATACACATACAGAGAAAGAGAGAGAGAGAGAGAGAGAGAGAGAGAGAGAACAGTGTAGAAACGTTGCCAGTTACGGAAACAAATGATCCAGACACATATAAAACGTGGAAGAAGCAAATAAGGAGATACTCAATAAGCGGATTACAAGACACCTCTGCGCGTAATGGAACAACAGAAAACCATCGGAGCTGCGGAGAATGGATACAATGTACTATACACGTCGCTAAAACAAGGAACGCAATCGCACGAGCCAGTAACAGCGACCAACACATAAACAGATATCGTCGAGCACGTGCGATTTAGCTCTAAAGTGATTTGACTGTTCATAATGTGGCGGATTTTCTTCTCAAGAGGAACGATTTCGTTTCTGACTCGTGTTTTTTGCGCGTTTTTGCTATATCTCTCGCGTTCATGTTAGTACGGTATTGTTTCAGGGCAAAATAGAACATGCTATAAAACGAAGAAAAATGAGATAAAAGAAAATAAATAAAGAAACAAAAAAACAATATAAAAGACCAGCGCTCGCATTCTATAATAGGAGGAAGGATTCCAGAATAAAAGGGATAACGAAAGTCGAGCAAACAGCAATTGATTTATAGAATAATAGCCACTCGAAAGGCAAAATGAAACTAGTACAGTGACACCAATGCACAACGATCTCGACAATACTTAATTGGCCAGAAGTACACGGGCAACGATCCGCTCGAGTCTCTCGAAATAACAAGGGAAACGAAAGGAGACCACTATCACGCGTTCCGATTTCGAGGACATCGCGGCTTATTCATCAGCTGTATACGTGTTCCTCTTCGTATTAGCAGCTACCACGTCTGACAAACTAAAATATACCCCGGAATTGTATGCCCTAGGTCCAGAGGTTTCAGGGAATAAATTGCCAACTTGTCATCCACGCATCGGCCCGAAAAGCTGCGTTCCAGTCTCGAGTCTTCTGTACCAACCGGCCGAGCGAAACAACGAAAGAGATTAATGTACGCGACCACAGAATGGATCTCGCATATATCTTTTCTCAATACCAACCACACACTCCATGGCATTCCCAATTTTCCAACACTATATATATTTTAAAACCTAAAATCAAGACTATTTTCTCCACTCCATGGTTATCAATTCAATTATCATATACGATTGCTCACGATAGTGTTCGAATATTTATCATAAAAAATTTGTATTCATATTTAGTGAAAAATTGATATATAGCAAGAATAACCATTTTAAACATACATATAATTAGTGTCGAAACTGGTTCCACTGAATATTTAGACTTATTACTATAATAGATAATTGAGTGTTTAAATATTTTTGTGATTTCTACAAGTGTTTGATTACTTTCGTGAGCAACTGTATGTACAAAAAATACAATAACGACGATCTCCAAGAAAAAAGAAGAAAAAAAGAGCAAGGGAAGATGAATCACTACGAGATTGTGCAACGTAGCTACAACACGGAGGACTAGGTATAATTCGAAGACAAAGATGACGAAGAGATTCCAGACAGAGGGTGGAAGAGGAACGCGAAGAATTCGAAACTCGCGAGGACGAAAAGAACGAGGAGAGAGGCAGAGTATGACAAACCGAAAATGCTCGATGTACAATCTAAAACCCTATTCAGCTTTTAAACTCTTGACAATGGCGACCAGTTAGAAAGTTTTCTACTGGTGGCTGGATTTGTCGACGCGGAGTGCGAGGGATGGTGGGGGTGGGTCGAGCACGATTCAAAAGTTTGATTTATTTGAGAGGAGATTGCGAACAGCACAGGAGCCGACAGGATCAGGCCAGATTTTGCGATCGGTGGGAGAGAAAAGGGAGAAAGAAGGAGGAGGAATAAAAAAATAAAAGGGTTGAAGTCGTTGTATTTGCTGTCGGCATCCAGCCGTCCTACATGTGTGACATTTTTCAGAATTCCTTGCTGTCTGGATTGCTTCGCCATCCGCTCGACCTCGCACCATTCACAAGCTAAGAAGAAAGTCCTTTCACTGGCATGGGTCGTGAAAAGTGCTCTGAACCGTGACCATTTTCGAGAAATTAGCACGGATTCTTGGTAAAGAATTCTACAGAGAATTGCAGTAGGATTTTTCCTTGCTCGTTTAGAGGAACGACTTTCCTGGGAAATGCTTTGCACCTGATTTATTCTGTCTGATAGAACATTTCGAATGCTTAATTATTTATTGGGAGATGTTGTTATTTTGTACTGGACGTATTTCATTTACGAACCAAATAAATAATGGCTGTTCAATTTATTAATTATGATAGTTGCTAATACTTCTTAACTTCTTAACAAATAGAAATCATACACAAATCGATCATGCATAAGATCATCCCATAAAATGAAAGAATCCATGACATAAAAAATCATGCATTTATACGACAATTGACTGTATATACATATACCGATCGAAGAATCCGAGCATGGAGTATTCTCGAACGAGGAAACGCTCAACCGAGGATAAACATATTCACGGTTCAAACTTCAGGAAGCTTAGCAAGTAGGTATGATTCACTGGTTCGAGCTTGTGCACTACTCAAAGTATACGAAGAAGTCGAAGCAGCTCCGTAATTTGCCATTAAGACATAATGCAAAGCTTATTTCTTTTAAAGCTCGAGAATCGAATCACGAAAGAGAATTGAATTACACGAGTTCCAAGCCCCGTTGTAAGCGGCGTCGTAATACCGGATTCCGTCTAGCTATATCGTAACGTCTCGATCTAACAATCACGAAGACCTCGTGCTAAGAAGCAGAGCTGATATCGTTGTTATTCTCTTCCTTCCTTTCTCTTGCTCATACTTTCTCTCTCTCTCTCTCTCTCTTCCCCTTCCTCCCTCCTTCTCTCTTCTACCATTACTGCCTTTCGCTATATCGCGTGACTCGATAATGAAAACTATCAAGAATCGGAAATCGTGCGCCGTTCCCAGCGAACCTATTGTCCGTGCATTTTGATATATATAATATATAATACATATTATATCTGCATATAGTATATGATGCGCATATAAATATAAACCTCGAGACTCTTTAGCGATGCGAGACAAATTAAGAAAGCGGTAGTAGGATCGAAGCCGAAAAGAATGGTAAACTTTTAGACGTACCAGAAAGAGCTTGCGTGAGCAAGGGCGTGTTGTTGTTGGGGGTGAGCTGTCCGTTGGTAAGATCCACTGAAACATAAAACTCTGATCACAACTGTTCCGTACATCAAGGCTATACGCGATATCGTACGCTCTCGCTACTCTCGTTTACTGCCACTCAGCAGAGAGTAAGAGAGAGATATGTAATACTGTCTGTAGCTGATTAAAGAAGAGAGAGTTTAAAAAAAAAAAAAGAAAAAAGGAAAAGATGAAAGAAGACGTAGAGAGACATCTGTGTGACGCCAAAGTGACGGCCGAAAGAAAGACAGAAACGTGATTTTTCCGTGTGTGTTGCTTTGTCGTTGATCTTCTCTGTACGCTGTGCGACGATCGAGCGAGCACGTTTTCCTCCTGCGTCGTGACACTTTCGCGATCCCCGGATTAAACGTTCTCTCCTTTCTTTCGTTCTTTAGCCTCGCTACAGACCTTTGCTACTCTGGTCCAACTGGAACCCGAGTCAACGTTTACTATGCTCGCAAACTCGTCGTTAATCTCTTTATTTTGGATGAATCACAACGATTACGTTTGAACACGTAAAGCGTGGTCAAATCATCGTCCACTATAAACCATGTATTTAGGTATCCCTTTCCCTTTCATTCGTGCTGCGTTACGCGATATTTACCTGGGAATATTCCACGTGCTCGCAATCGTACGAGTAACCGAATATCGCACTCTCGCGTTCGAAGATTCGTAAAATATTTGCCGTGTGATAATAGAACCTATGGCTACCAATTGTCGCACGGGTTACGGCAGCAGCCCCGTCTCGTCGATTGGACGCGTCTCACCGCGCTGTTATTTCTTGCTTACGGGACCGACGAAGGCAGAAATGTATGAATCGCGATCGATGACGTGGAACAGAAGCGCTCCAGCCTCCAAAAACCTTTAGTGAACGAAATTGTGAAACTATCAACGAAACGTTTGCGTTTCATGGCGCCGATAATCTGTAATGATAATGATCGATGTTTTGCGAGAACGTGAAAAAAAAAGAAGCGGTTGAAAGGAGAGACAGATGTACAAAGAGAAATAGAGGCGCGAAGACAAACGGACAGACAGAGAGGGGAAAAAGGCGTGCTTTTTTCCACAGTCCAAAGTGAATGTCGACTTCATACATTTCTTCCGGAGTGCAGTCCGTTGGACGTGTTGCATCGGTGTCTCCGTATATGCGCGGCTTGCGTTCTCGCTTCCGGTTCCGTGGTAGAACACTGCCGGCACTCCTGACATTAATAAAGAACAAGAAGAAAGCTGAGAATGTAGGCAAAAAAAACAAAAAACGGGGACGAATAAATAAAAATAATCTTGGTAAAAAATTTGCTGCTGAGAATGTACGAGATAAAAGAGAGAAAAGTACCGTTGGCATGGTGAGTTTATTTAGCTGCTCTTTTTGGCGAAACAGCGACAACGTGACGATTTAGTTATACGTGGTTTATGTACGTAAGAAGGAAATCAAAAGGTATGAGTCTTCATCTTTATGAAACATTAATAAAATTGATCGATTTGGTTCACTAAAAAAGTGATTATTGAAAATAGAGTTAAATGTAGTCTGAATATAAACTGGATATTTAATTCTAATACTTTTAATAGTACGAGAAATTTTAGAAAATATCAGAAAAATTACTTCTGGGTTAAGAATAGATTTCTAATTACTTAGTCGTGATATTTGCTATGACACAAATCGTTGTAATGCTATTATTTCTGCTATGAAAGATAATTCCTAATTATGTAATCTCATACTTTAAAACTTAGACCAATAACGTTAAAATCAACCCATCTAGGAATTTTTCAATGTATTGTACTAGACTGAAATTTATTCTATGAGCCGAAATAATTCCATCTAAAAGAGAATAATTATAAAATCCAAGACCCGAAATCAATAATTATCTTTAACAAAAATCAATGACCAAAATAAAACAGTGTATTGACAAATACTGCAAATGCGGCATTCGCAGTGAATTCATATCGGTCCTACGGAATACATATCGCGAACAATTGCGATAACCTTCGCGCATTAATTACTCCGACGCGTTCGATAACGTGGAACTCGTTTCGGCAGACGAAAGAAAAAAAAAAAAATAATAAAGAAAGAATTTTCATTGCAAGAAAGACCGACAGAAAAATCGGAGATCCTTTATAACCGGCTAAACAAACATCGACGCGTTTTGTGCTAGCGATGAATGCGGACGTTCTGACGTCACATTCTCCGCTATTTTTTCCACGAGCTCGCTTTTCTACGAAATAAATACGGCGCCTACGCGCGAGCATTACGCTGCCCCTGGCATTTACCATTCGGAATCAAAGAAAAAAAAGGAGGTAGATGAAAAAAAATATCACACAAAGAACCACGAGTAAATGGTTTAAAGTTGGTAAAACGGTCCGCAAAGGTGGATTCGTCGCGAAGCGTATCGTATGGTAAGAGCAGCGCGGAAAGCAGAAAAAATGGACGAAACACAGAGAAAAGACGGCCCATCAAAAATAGAAATACACCCACGCGAATTGTAGCCACGTTTGGATTTATGTCCGGGGAACTGTTAGCGGTGCTGATTGATTCGAAATTTGCGTGGATTTTAGGAGATTCGAGGGGTGAATTGTCATCAATATTGGGTAAACAGGATGAAAAATAAATCAGGATGATACCAGTGTGTTTTGGACAAGTGGGTTGGGTTGTAGCTTCGAAAAGGACGGAAATGAAAGAAAATGTCCGATCTGTCAACAGTATGTATTTATGTGCGCGCGTATGGTTCAAATATTCTCCTTTCTGAATTGGATTATCTATATATTCTTTGGTATAGCGATTGACATTGTTTCCCTTTCTATAATATTTAATATAAAAATTAAAAAATATGAACTTTTAGAAACTGATGATTTAACAGAAATTTAGTAGATAAAAATGTAAGAAATCGATCCGTATCGCAAAGTACATATTACTTTTTTTATTTATTGCAAAGAAAAATTATATCGATTAATTAATTCAATATGAAATCGCTTATTTGCTGCTATACGCATGCATAATTGCATGAGATTGGCGTGCAAATTACGACACATTTATTTTCTTTTATCTCTAATCGTTTTAAAGCTACAACCCAATCTACTTTCCCGAGCCACTGTGTACATGGAAAGTTATTTAGAGATAAGCATCGATGCTATAGAATAAACATAAGAAGAGATCGACGATAGTAGCTGAAAGTTTCTACATAACACAAAACATTACGATATGTCGCAAAAGCTAGTGCCAGGTTAATTGGGTTAGTGACTCCGAGTATAGATATGTACTTAAATGGTTAACCAGTTTACGAGAAAATGAAACATTACGAGCCTCATGAGGATCGAAGGAGACGCGTCGCAAACAGATTTCCCATTATAATTAAACTGATTTAGTAAATGTCTAAATACCTACAGAACTTTAATTCTTGCACAAATTTTGAAAATCTCTAAATTATTTCTTGATAATAAAGTAAAGTAAGTCGAATAAAATTAATGAATACCGAAAAATGATAGGAATATGCAAAAAGAAATGGTACGTTAACGCGGAAGGAAAAAATCAGCTTCGGACAGCGTGAAAACAGAGTTTTCCCAGAGTGTGGAATCTCGTTTTAGGAACGGTAACCGGCAGGACTGATAACGCGATAGCGTAAGGGGGTGAACGGACCATAAATCGCGGATCGACGTGATTTGTATGGGGTATCACGCCGCTTAATGGTGTGGCTTGTCTCTATCGAACGATCGAACTCTGGCCGGAAGTTTCGAGCCACTGCCAGGTTACAGAGGAATATTCGCCACGTGTCTCTATCGCGTGACAATTTACATGATTTCATATCTTTTTCTCACCACGCAATCCTCGGCTATAAATGGGAATGATATGACCAGAGAACTACGTGGTTCGCATTTGTCACTAGATTACGCAAGGATGACTCCGAAGAAACCGTCAAATACAAACAATATTTCATCATTGGTAACACACGAAAAGAGGTAAGCTCCATGGATGCGATCCAGGGAAAGCTCTTGCGATCCGATTAAGTAATATGGATTAAAAGACTGCATACGATGCGGAGGAATACGTGATGCACTCTTGATTGTAGAACCGTGATTGTGATACGAAATACGTAATTCTATAGCGAATGTGAGATTGAGATTATTGGTGCATAAGAAGATTATTGTTACACGTAGCTTTTTGTAAAATTTAAATGTTTTATCACATTTCCGATTAAGGAAAGATTGCTTTCATAGATTATTTTAGTTTTGACGTTAAGGGGGTATTCTAGTCTAGAGGCATGAATTTCGGGCGGTTTTTGTAGCTCTGTACAAACGAAACAAAAAATATTTTTACTATCCATTTTTTTATCATTTGTTTATTGACACTTTAAGATTACATAAAAAATTAACTGAAAAAAACTCAAAATTCACAAAGTTATGAACGGGCAAAGTGGGGGTCCAAAAAAAGGGCGTCCTGGCGTGCATGATTTCAACCCTTCTAGTCATCTGAAGCAATAAAGCCGAACGGATTCTTAATTAGTATAGATGCGGCTATATCATGAACCTTGCAAAAGTCAAAACAATATTTTTTCACAAAATGGCGGCTGTTTGAAAAAAAGGTTCCTTTTTAGCATGTTTTTTGGATATTCCGAATTTTTTAAAAATAGTAAAATTAAAAATTTTGATCTGAGCGTGGTTGAGGCGATAGAGGAATGTATAAAGAACATTCACAGCAAATTTCAAATAAATCGGTTCACTAGAACTTGAGACATCGTGCACGCCAACTCGAAAAAAGTAGTTTCGAGAAAAACGCGTTTAAAGTTTTGAGATAAGTTTACTCGGACAACGTCTACCGTCTACTGTTCATTTGTTCCGGTCGGACCGGAGCAGATGCCACGTCACAAAAATGGCTGTAACTCATAAAATAATTGAAATTTTGAAAAATACTTTTAAGAGCATATTCTTGAATGTCTGAACTTTGGGAATATGAAAAAAAAATTTTTTTCGATTTTTTCAAATTTCTAGACTAGAATACCCCCTTAATACGTAAATTTTTAATCTGCGTTTGTAGTATCCTTTGGCCTGCTTAATTGCTGATTTTGTATTCATTTCATTCTTTTTGAAATTTTCTGACTTCAATTAAATTAATTACTTTTTTAAGAAGAAACCAATTATTCATCTGTCAAATAAGACCCAAACCATAGACGGAATAATTACATATGAAACAAAAGCTAAAAACGTTAATAGAAGTTAAATAATAGTTCACTCATTTGTAATTCTCTAATACAAGACACTAAGGAATTTAGTCTCAATCATACAATCAATAACATATATGTTTCTCCGCAATAAGAGCACATCGAACCTGATCCAACCGCTCGAACAATGGAGGTTGCTGGAACTTTGAGGGAGCGTAGCGTAAGAAAAGCGGGGACACGCGAGAAGTAATGGACGAAAATCGGAGTGCTGTAAGAGCCTGGTGACAAATGAACCGGGAAACTTCGCCCGCAGACGTTTATCGAACGTTTCATAGAAAGAAGGGGGCCATGTGCCGAGATAGCTGGTTCGGAGATTCTAGATCTCGCAATTCACGAAAGAAAAAAAAGGAAAACAGAGAGAGAGAGAGAGAGAGAGGGAGAGAGAGAGGGTGTCGATAGCGCCCAGGGTATCTCGTATCCAAAAATGTTTGTACACGCAATGGGAAAATCAAGTGCAGAATGCACGCGATAGTATCTAGAACCGAACTTCTTAATGCTCATGTGATTCGATCGTTTTCATCGAAACGGCAAACGCATGAAGATCTAGGCCAAGAGTTCATCTATTTCAAGTGTATCTCCAGCTGACGTAGATACGATCGAGAGTCTGTATAACGGGAGGGGAACGGTCTGCACCGCGAAATCCACTCGTGGGGTATGAAATATCGGCCAGCAAGGAGACTGTAAGGTCTTGATAGGAGAATAATTTTGATCAGGTAAACCTGTGTCGGCCAGTACAGATCGGGTAATTTTTCAATTTATTTAACACTGACTCAAACAGCTCCAGAAATGGACTCGTGACATCTGTTGCTGTTACTTTGAAATCTATGCTTCGAATAGGACGAAATTGACGTGGACGAAGGAACGGAGGAACTTCGAGAATAATTGAAACTATAATTTTTCGTTCGTTCGAGTTTTCTCTGGTTTCAAAATAATAAGAAATTTAATTGGAAAGCGAAATTGGCGAATGTTTTGGACACAATGGATGAGAATGA